GGGGTCCCAGGGGGGCGGCAGGCTTCGCCTTGCTACCCGTTCGACGGAAAGAGATACGACAACTTCCACAACAACCACAACAACAACTACTAAGCAACGCAGTACCGTACCGTAATAGCAAGAGGCGAGGTCAAACGGCACCGCACGCGCACTCCTGGCAAGGAAAAGTCACCCATGACACGGGGATACCAGGGACCATGCCTGGCAGAGCCGGTGGTGTAGCAGAGAGCTTACGTAGTATATTGAATTGGATGGGAGTAGATGTGGATGTGGATATGAATATGGAGCATATTCGGAACTCGATGCCAACTTTCGAAAGCTGAGGCCGAAACTTGAGACTCCTGAAAGCTTCCCGGGACATTTTGATTGGTAATGATTAATATGCAACAAAAGTCTTGTTTTTCCGCTCTTCCAGAACCTACCTACTGTAGAAATGTAAATTTCGCTTCTTCGCAGCTTGCAATGAGAGAAAGAGGAAAACAAAAAACCGTCATCTCCACTTTTAGAATATCATGCGAAGCGCCCTCCCCTCGATCTCACCCAGATCGGCCGTACCATGAAAAACTCCCATCCCCCGATTCTGCGCCACCCTATCCAAAGTCCCAGCTACCCGCTAATAAAATCCAGTAAGCCTCAAGTCCCTTGAGCTCGAACCGACGCGGATCGTAATATTGCCCTTGGTAGGCATGACCCAATTCTGCCGCACCTCATCCCAGAAACTCATATCTCGTCTCGTAAGCCCGAACTCCACAGTCTTTGTCTGATTCGTCTCCAAGTGTATCTTCTCAAACTGCCTCAACACCTTGACCGGGAAGTCCACTGTGACGCCTTCCCCGAGGAGTACGTCGTCGAAAGATATGTACACCTGCACGACCTCCTTGCCGGCCACAGGGCCCGTGTTGGTGATGTCTACGGAGACATTGGCGTATACTTTCCACAAGTCGGGGTTCCCGCCTTCGTCGCCGCCAGCTTGAGAAGGGGTTTGGGTGACATCGTAGCCGTCCGGATAGGGGTATTTGCCTTGCTTGATTTCGGAGAGGGCGGTGATGTATGGGTAGACAAACTTGGAGAGCTTGCGGAAGTTGCTAGGGAAGAGGGCTTGCGAGGGATCGGGGATTGTGTCGTCAAATTTCGGAGGGGTGATTCCAGATGGTCGGGGGGAGGGGAGAAGTGATTTCTCGCGGACCTTAGTGACTACCAGGTTGGAGTAGGTAAATGTCGTGTAGGAGAGGCCAAATCCAAATGGGAAAGTTGGCTCCACGCCGAATTTGTCAAAATGACGATAATCGATGTAGAGGCCCTCATCGAAATTCTGCTGTGGGATAACGCCATTGGCATAATACAGAATTTTGGCTCCAGGGCCGTAATCGTCCAGAGACTTGCCAACGGTGTACGGCAGTTTTCCACTTGGATTTTCGACACCAGTGATGATGTCTGCAATGGCATTTCCGCTCTCTTGACCTGGGAGATTCGCCATGATGAGACCTCTGATTCGTGGATGGTGGATCCATTGCTCGACGACGACAGGGCCGACAGAGTGGATGACTACAATCGTGAGTCCCTTTCCGCCGCCACAGCCGTCGGCTACAGACGTAACTAGTTCATCGCCGCTTTTATGGAGGAAGAGGTCGTTTCTATCGCCATTAATTCCTTCACGCGACATGTAACCTTCGCCCGAATCCGCATTAGCGAAAACGATGCAGAAATCTTGATTCGTCAATATCTCAGGGGATATTTTGAGAGGAGGGCTGTTTGTCGGGAAGTCGGTAACGTAGACTCGATCCTTGTTGAAGGCCTCCTTCAATGCAGATGCTGGAGTGATGAGATATGGGAAATCTACAGCCCCAGATCCCCATCCGGAACCTAGAGTGCCGGAGTTACAACCACGATCAACACATGCGTTGGGACCCTTCCCAGAACCAGAATCGTCACCAAAAATACCAATGCGCATTTTCATGCCATGCTCTTCAGTGGGCCATCCGTCTTTACTGAGAGGAAGAATGTGGCCTTCGTTCTTGACAAGGACTGTGCCTTCTGTTGCGACTTTCCGGGCGATGATGGAGTGATTTCCTTGAACGTTGACGTATTTGTTTACGAGTTTCAGGTCTTTGTCGTCCGCACTTCCGGGGTTGATAGGGCCCATCTGATCACTGGTCCATGATGAGAAGTTGATGCCTTCTCCGTCAAACTTACTCTTGTCATCCTGACCTAGCTGGTACCAGGAAGCAACAACACGTGTTACCATGTCGTTCAGTCTGGATACTGGTAGAGACCCATTCAAAATAGACTTGCTGAGTTCTGGGCCCCAGAGTGAGTTTCCTTGACCCCATCTCAAACCATCTCCTGGCATAGACATGTCCAATCCAGCAAGAGCGCTTGCCACGCCACTTCTTTGTGCGAGCCAATCGCTTTGAACAAACCCCTGGAAACCTAGCTCGTCCTTGAGGATTCCGTTCAGCAGTTTCGAATTACCGCATGAGTACGAATTGTTGAGCATCTGGTAGCTGCACATAACACTGGCAACGCCAGCCTTGATCGCATCTTGGAATGGCCATCCATACATCTCATGGAGTGTTCGGTCATCCATATTGGAAGACATGGCATTCGGAAGACCCCACTCCCATGATTGTCGGAAATGTTCCTGCTCGTTGCCGACAAAGTGCTTGATTGTAGCCATGACGCCCTCTTCTTGGATGCCCCGGATCGTCTCAGCGGCAGCAATTCCTTGGAGAACGGGGTCTGCTCCGAAGCCTTCCCAATTTCGGCCACCAGCAGGCATTCTGCCGAGAGGTCCAACACACGGTCCCAGCAGTACGTTGACGCCCTTCAAACGTGCTTCTTCTCCATGTGCTTTGCCTCGTAAGTACATCAGCTCCTTGTTGAATGTTGCGCCAACTGTGATCCCGGCTGGAAATGCGGTAGCGTTGTCCGCGAACCTCAATCCCAGAGGACCGTCTTGTAGAGCCAAACCTGGGAAGCCAACGTGGCTTGCAGGGCCAGTATTTCCTACGGCCAATCCCATCGACCAGCCCGTACCTGTGGTGATGTTGACCTTCTCAGGCAAAGTCATCTTGCTGACCAACGCTTCTGCCTTTCTGTAGCTCTCGGCCCATTGCGATACAGTTCCCCCTGGAGGCGTAGGATACCAGGGTGGAGACTGTCCATCCAGAGGCGTCTTCTTGTAGAGCCAGAAGCCTCCAGCAGCCAGCACCGACCAGAACACAAGCAACACAGCCATTACAATCAGGAAGCATTTCGAGCGGCGGACAAACGTCTTCCGAATTCGCGCAAGCTGCAAGCTGGGTGCGTAGGCAGAGGATGCGAACTCGAGGGGTGGTTCATTGAGAGAATCTTTATCGAAGATTTCAGTGGCATCGAGGTCCGAATCGCTTTCTGAATGGTAGGCATCATCGAGGGGCTTTGTTGGTGGTATTCTATTGCCATGTCCGTCGGACTGCAGGAGAGCCTCACGGCTCTGACCTGCTTCGTGGCGGTTCATCGTGGTTGTTCTGATGTTTGTCTATCTGGGGCTGAAGCTCGAGAGCTGGTTGATGATGTTCGTTGAGCTTTAAACAGCTCTTCAAGATCAAGTATTAGAAGTCATTCGAGAGTGGATCAGGACATGGAGTAGCTTTGAGGGAGAGAGAAGAAAGTCATTTTTTTGTTGGTGTTGGGCGGTCAACTAACTGACTTGACTTGAATTCGCGGTAACACGAAGTGTGAATTTGTTGTTGGTGCTTTGATACTTGTTGATTGGAGCTGCAGTCAGTCGTCGCAGCCCCGGCCCGCAGCCTTCCCCGGGAAGATCTGCCGGAGATCCGCTTACCAATCAACATGACGTCGAGACCCGAGATCCCTAAAGCAATTCACGTTCACTGCAGCGCAAATAAACAAGAATCAGCTATGTCTTTGGTCTCTTTGGTGGTTGTAGTCTTGCGTCCGGTGCAAGTTTATAATATAAAGTCGGTAGCTCCGGCCCGTATGATGCCTTGTTATCTATCACCTTTGAAATTCTAGCTAAGAAGCCGAGAAGTATTTCATGCATGACTCCGTCAGTGATCGTCGGCTCGCTTACTGATTATTCTCGGCGGCTAGACCTGAACGCTTACCGAGGACTCTTAAGCAAGTTGCCGCTCAATATCCAGCTGCTTTGCAACTTTCCACTTCCGGGCACAAACGCCATCGGCCTCCCCACTGAGAATAAAGCTCGATTGAATATTACGATTATAAGAAGAACAGCGTGGGGCTTTAATCGTCAGGTTGGTCATACATGCGTGCCTCGACAACAATAATTTAAAACAGAAATGGACCAAAAGAGAAGATATCTAAGAAAGGGCAGAGGCCCAGTTGCAGACATTCACATCTACGATATAGCGATCCGAAAAAAGGATATCTCCAGTCGTTCGTTGAATAATAGCGCGTGAACACCGTCTCATCACAGTCAAGGACACGAGGTCGCGGGATACCGCATTGCTCTGCGATACCACATCTGTACTTGTGTTATATTGTATAAAGTATAGGTCGGAAAGAGAGATGCGCTGAGATTCTTGTAAGTGTGTCCGTATGGTATGCCGACTAACATTTTTGAGTGCCTTGCCGCCAGGTACCGTACCTAGGTAGGCCCAGGTCCAGCTGGAATTACCTGGCGATCAAAAAGGAATTCCAGACCCGAGTTCATTCGCTGCGTTTTTCCAATTTTAGAATTTAGCGCTCGCTACAGCCAAGAGTCCAATGAAAGCTTTCATTGCTAAGCTATCCATCCCACTTACTTTTCATACGTAGCGACCCGACTGCCCTACCTAATCGATACACGAATGTCTCCGTCATCCGTCTCCTAAGAAGGACTATAAAAACCGTGTGCGCCTCCCATGACATTCTCTATCAACCGCTGTCTGTCCAATAACTGCATCTACCAACCATGAAATGCTTCCGAAGCAGAGCCCATCGATCGCTGTCTGTCCCAGCCGCCGGATCCACATTCGTCATCCCAGATAAGGATAAGTACCTATCTATCATGCTCTTGGCTCCAGCCAGCAGTGAAGGTCGCGAGAGACATCCTCAGACCTCGCCCCCAATGTTGAATGCTCGAATCAGACTCCTGGCTCATCCATCCATCGCTCACTGTCACTTCCGCCACCCCATCTCGGAAAGCTGTTTGCTCCAGAGCATCACACCACGCCCCATCCTTGACATACGTTGAAAAGACCTCGGAGGAGTGCCACCCAAGGCTTGACAAGATATAATCCTCCTTGCAGAACCAGCAAGTACAGTATCCCCATCCCCCCCGGCCCCAAGAGCATACGGGAGATGCACTGGGAAACCCAGACTCACTTAGCATGGGGAGGGCGGGCAAGGTGAATTGGCTGAAATGAGCACATCGCTCATCACTACGGAGTGCGAGTCCAAACAAGGGAGAACACGTCCGATGCCCCCCTTGCGGCTGGAGCGTCCTTCTAGGCTGCTCCTTCTCCCCCTCTCCCTTATCAATCGGCCCGCCCGCTCGCTAGGTATTTCATGCTTCCCTTTCCTGCATCCGAAGCGGACATCAATCACACACTCACACTCACACTCACACTCACATACACTCACATACATACATACACATACATACACATACACTCACACTCACACACATACATACACATAAACATACACATACCCGCCCCCCTCCCTGCATGATGGCATCCAACCAAGTTTTCATAACACCTACCTTACCCATATGCAGAACCGTTCCGTGTTGCCTCCACTGCACTACTCCGTACCTAGGTACCTATCAGATAAACCTCTCACCTGACACATCCAAGTACTTATCTCTCCGACCGATATACCGACCTACCTACCTACCTACTATCCCCTTTTTTTTTTCTCCCTCCTCTACGTGTCTGGCGTACGGCAAACTTCCCGTACCTCCCCTTTCGTCATCTCCACCTCTCTCTGCACTCCCGAGGTCCCCGAGGTTGGTATAGGTAAAGATTTATAATTCAATCCTCAAAACTTCTTCCAACCAAGTCTAGACAGTCCAATCGTGAGAAGGTAGATTTAAATTAAACGTAGAAGGTTCGGTACGCCCTAGACCCTGAAAGTATGTAGCTCAGGAAAAACCGACATGGCTACTCATCGATGCCGTTCTATTTGCATTAGCAATTATATGGCCCTATCCGCCTCCCGACCCCCGCATCCGCGTTTGAGCCGTCCCACCGTCTTCCTTCTCTTGATCCTCGCATTCGCCCAGTCATATCCTTCCCAGTCCCGAGGGCAATCGCTGCTGTTCACCCATATATAACCCAAAATCCTTTCTAACCCTCGCGCAAGAAAGATCGAAAAGATCGCCAAGCAAAACCCCACTGTATAAACATTTCCTGGCCAAATATACAGCCCATTCAAAGATCAAAAGACAAACAATCATTTCCTTTTACCACGAGAATGTCATCAGCGCCGGGTTCAGGGCCAGCGGCAGTAGGAGATGACTAGCTGCGATCGTCGCCATCGGTAAGATAGCGACGAAGTCGGTGATTTTCCAGTCATACGGCACGAACGGGGCCTTGGCGAGAACGATCATGCCGGCAATACCAACAATGGAGAAAGCCATGGATCCCCAGAACTTCTTCAGCACCTTGGGCACTTCGATGAAGAAGTTGGAAAACTCGGCTTCTTTGGATGTCGCGCCCCATGTCATGTCGATCTTAAACATATGGGAGAGGAGAGCTTGCGATACGTGAAGGGAGAGACCACCCAAGAAGATTGCTAGCATGAATGTCCACTTCAGGTTCTCAAAGAGCGAGTAGAGGAGACTGCGCTCGCCAATACGGTACCGCATGACTGCAAGAGCGAGGTTGCCGAGACCGTTGAATACGATGATGATGGAAAACCAAACCTTCCACGAATCGACGTAGTACTTGTCGAGGTATCCGTTGAACCATCCGATGGCAAAGTAGTTGGCTGTAGTCATGATCCATGCGGCCCCAATAGCGTAGTATGTTCCAATGTAGGAAATAATAGTGATCTTGGACGTAAATCGAATGTTAGAAAACAAGAAGCGACGGAAAAGGGGAGTGAAGGGTCCCTTGTAGAACCACTGGAAGATCGGATGGAACAGCAGCTCGTTACAGCCGTAGGCATATTTTTCCCACCGTGCCAACTCGTCGTACACGGTCAGGGACACACCCTCTTTGAAACCTTCGCCTGCCCAAGCGGCCAGTCGAATAGTGTAGCCATTGCATTGAAGACGGAGAGACATGTCGAAATCCTCGGACACGTGGGATTCGGACCAGAACTTTTCATAGCCATCCTCATCTTCGTAAGAGACCTGTTGAATAGCGGCCCAGCGGAGAATAGCGTTGTGGCCGACGAAAGGCGCAACGTCACCGTTGGAGACGGTGTATCGGATGGCGGTGTAGATGAGGTTGGTGAAGAAAGTGATACCGTTTTCGAAGTAGGTGTTGACGACTTGCATGACACCGGAAGAGAATTGCATGATACCAACTTCTGGGGATTGTTCCATCTCGGAGCAAGCGTCTAAGAGGCAATCGGCAGGCACACGAGTATCAGAGTCAACTGAAATTCATTAGAAGATTCACTGCAAATATCCGTAGAACGTACTCAGCAAGATATAATCTCCAATCCGAATGTTTCCATCGGCCCAAGCGCGTCCATTTTCCTCGAGCGCTTCATTTAGGGCTTTCTCGTAAGAGGTAGCCTCATCGGCCTGAGTCCAGTCAACGGGTCGGTTAATAGCAGCGAGCTTCTGCTCGACCATGCATGAAATGTTCAAGCCAAAGTTCATGTTCGAAGCCTAAATTAAAAACGTCAGCGTGCAGTTCGCTATCCGCGAAAGGATGAGGCGTTGTCCACCCTTGTCGGCTTGTAGGCGAGTCGAATGGGGCTGAGGAATGTAGGACGTCTCTTATTGGGAGCCTTACTTTCTTGACTATATGACCATCAGCTGGTACCCAGAAATCCCTTCCGACCGGAGAACTTACATTTTCCTTTTCTGACAAAGTTATCATCACCGTGCTTTGGTCTGGCAGTCCATCCAATGCTGTGATCAGCATAGAAATCGATTCTGGCTCGTCGCTCCTCCTCATTCAAAATTTGAAGGCCGTCATCGTTGATGAACATGTTGGCCGAGCCACCTTGGAGCTCGTAGGTGGAGATGGCCTGCTTGATGGACTTCACAGTTGGTGCGATGACAGAGCTCAATCCCTCTTTGTACACCGGGCACTGAATGGTAATGTGAGGCAGGGTTGCAGACTGGAGTCTTGGAGGAGCACGCGCAGAGTAGAACTTGGAGTTGGTGTGCATTTGTCGGATGGGACCGAACAACTGTGCCAAACAACCCATGATGACTTGAGAAAAGAAGAGGGTGAAGAAGATCTGGACTGGAGTCAAAAGCAAGAGGGCGAGGCGGGTGTAGCTCCCGTCAACCGTGGTCTGGATGGCAAGTTGTCTGGCACCGGCTCCCAAGAAGACCATGATGAGGACCAAGGTCATGGCGACAAGGACCGTGTTCTGCAGGTGCAACGGACGCTTCTCGGGAATGATTTCCCCACTCTCCTCGTCTATCTCGTATACTCCGGCGTTTGAATCCTTCTTTTCGTCTTCGTCGGGGTCGCCAGTTCTCCACACGAGTTCCATCAGCTCCGACTCGATGGCCTTGGCACGCTGCACCAAATGTAACGCCTCATCGTCCCAAACAACCAATAGGGCTTCTGAAGCCACAAAGGCAGCAAACTGATGCTTTCTCGCTCTGGGGAGATCCTCGAATGTGGGGAGAAGTTGGATGCGGAGACCATTAAGTAAGGGGACGTCTACAGCATCCGGGGACCATTGAAGGAACGTCTTGATGACTCTCGAGTTGACGGTCATGGCGCACTGCATGGGTTAGCTGGTGTTGGTCCAGGTACAAGGTAGTTCCTCACTTGAACATTGAGCGCTGAACATGCAGCAGCGAAAGCAGAGTTGCCCAACTGTGGCGGGCAAGCCATATATGTGTTTTTGGACTTTCGGAGAAGCACACCTTCAATCTCGCCACTCCCATCGCTGACCCAGAGATGCGAGCATTGTTGTTGGTACAGGTAGTTGACCATTACCTCATGCTTGATGTCGTCCAAGAAAGTGGAGCTATGTGTGGAGCGATTTGATATCGAGGTTCTTGATGAGCCGAATCTCGATTGTGGGGGTTGAAGCTCTATGTCCAGACTGCTGCCGTGGGGAGATGTGTTTGCTGCTATCTTCTCGGTCATTGGCACCGGAGCCCTAGGCTCAGGCTTCTTTGCCTTGAAGTAGCTTCCTAAGCCCATGGCAGCGGCACTATTCTTGCTCTTCGATTAAGAGATATTGTCGTCGAGACCGTAAGATGTCTCTCCCCTGACTCCGGGGGCTTTCTTACTCCGGCAACTATCGATCGGATGAGAGATCAGTGAGCGACTTGGGGGTGAGAGAAGTATAGGCAGCTTCGTATATATGTAGGAGGGAGTTGGGTCGGCCTGAGCGCAGTTCAGTCAGTCAAAGGTTCGATTTTGGGGCGATCGCAGTTCTTCTTACACTGTGATCTGTCGGAGGGTGTATCTGCCTCAAGAATGAGATGGATTAGTTGGGTCGAAAGAGTGTCGTTATGAGCGGCGCACACTGGGGAGGGGGGGATTGAACGATTGTTGGGCGAACAAGGAGAGTGAAGTGTGAAGTGAAGGGTGTGCGGAAAACCCACGATGTATATTGTGGGAGTCACTACTACTTCCGTACTTCGACGGCGGAGGTAGCTAGCTAGGCACAAGTGTGCCAAGCCGAGGCGCTCGGGGTGGTGGGAAAGAGTTAAGTCGAGCTGTGCTGACTTGAGAATAATGCCCGTCAAAGACGATCTGCTTGGACCTTACCTTATTACGGTTACGGACGGCGTGGGAAGGGAGCAAAAAGAAAAAAAAAAAAGATAAGAATAGGCAAGGCGTTTTGATAGTCCGAACTTCGACCAGGGCATCAGCTACTGTATCCGTTGGGACAGGGCAGGGCTCCGATCCGAGAGCTGGGGTAGTCAACTTCAAGACCCCGGTGAAGATGCTCGTTACGGATCCAGGGTCTGATGCTGTTATTGATGCCGCCGTGGGGCTTGGTGAAGTCAGTTATTAGTCGTATCGCGTTGCTGGCGTTGAGAGAGGGAGAGACGGAGATACAGAAATACGGAGAGACAGAGAGGGAGATGACCCCGGGACAACAGAATTCAGTCTCGGTTCAGGTGCACCATACGTGTCACTGTGGTCACCAATTTGCGTACCTATCAATTATTTGGGTGCTCATATTCTAGTAAGTGGGAGATGGACGGATAGATAAACCTTGGATGATATAGTAATTTTTAAACTCCAAACTATATAACAGATCTGTGCTTGCGGGATGCTTAGTGCTGTAAGGCTGACAGGGACCATTGGGCCAATACCCAGTACTTACTACTGACCCACAATGATAGATGAGACATTTGAAGTACCGACCGACCTAGATAAATAGTCAGTAGCCTCTGCCTAAGTAGGTATCTAAGTATCATCACTCTGTTATGATCGGGTTCCGAGAAAGAAATGAAATTGCTATGAGGCATTCGTAAGGTATCAATCATATCATATCGTATCGCCTTTTTCGGCGGTCCCACGGCTGACTAAAATCCCGAAGATGAGCAAACAGGTAAATACTAAATAGTCATTGGAGGCTTGCACTAGGTAGGCACTACAGTATACTCCGTAGGTAGGTGGTCAGTCAGTGTGGCATCGAGGATGACAGTCTTGCATGGCCCCTGGCTAGCCCAGGCCCCGGCCCTACTTGTCGGGAAGTCTAAGTAAGGTTAACTTACCAGGAAGAGCTTAGATAAGGTACCGACGTAAGAAAGAGTGGGAAGACCCATAAATTACAGTTAAGGTAGACCCACAGATACACATGGCGCTGATAAGTATCAAACATCATCGACATCACGGGATTCCTGTGATCCATTCAACTTCTCCCTTCACTCCTCTCCCTCCCCTACCATCTCTCACTCTGAACACAACAAGGGATTTATTGAAACCTGTGGTGATCAACACCCACGTCACGATGTCTACGGACTATCTCCGGCTCGTCCGTCTCCCGTCTCCCGTCCTCCTACTGTCGATCCTGGCCTTATCGCTGCAGACAAGCCAGCTACAGTGGGGGGGCAGTCGAGACGCGGAACGGATCCCTCGCCTCGCCGAAGGTCACGCGCCCAGATTGCAAACCTCGAGCTGGAGATGAGGACGGCATTATCTCTGATACGAACCTACATCAAAGACGCAATCTTATCAACCCGAAAATTGAATAGGGACCAAGGCCAGCCTCCGAATTTCAAATCAGGAATTTCCGCCAAAAAAAAATCTCGTGAATGGACGACACATGGCTTTCCCCTGCCTCCCGCGCCGTGGCGCAGCTGCAGCTGAACCTGATCGCTTGAAATCTGGTTCCGACAAAGTGGATAGCAATATCGCAGGCTAAATCCAATCATGTCAACAATGGCGTCATCTTGTACTCGCCGGGCTGTGCCAGCGAATGAGGCTGATGTGCCATATGAATCTTAAAGCGAGCAGATCAAACAGGGCACATGTTGCGAGTCCGCTCCAAACAGCGAAAGGGATGATTTGGTAAGCAGCCAGATGCAGAGCCCCAGACTCGGGGACATGCCTAGTTTCAGCCTCTTCCGTCCTACCCAGCACGTTTTCAGCACCCCGCAAGCTATAATAATGGACGGTAAAGCTGCTGTACCCGATAACTCGATGCAGAATAACCTATCAATCTGGGGCTGAGCGAATCCCTATCTCTCTTTCCGTTTCGGAAATCACCTAGGCGCGAGATCGAACAGAAGCAAACCAATGTTGGACTCAAACGCGGAACAGCTGGCATCAGACTCGGTCGATATCTAGATCCTTTTTAGATTGACCTTATGCGCTTCCAAGGCTAGGATCGGAGTTCGAGCAATCCAATTGGACGGACTCCTTTGCTGTACAGAAGTGATCGTGGCCGCTTATCTTGCAACAATCAACTCCTACCGCTCGCTTCATCCGCTATCAGATCTATCGCCTATACCAACCCTTCAAAGATGGCAACCAAAACTCAATTTCCACCTCTTCCCGACATCTATTTTCAGCTGACTGCATGCCGGTAAAGCTGACAGGGGCAGCACGGCACGGAAGGCAACCGGCTCTCTCTGCCAGGGCAGATAAGGGGTTCCGCTTACAGCTTTCCCCTGAGCGGCGAAATTTCAAGCTTTCGATCGGAGACAAGGATTAGTATTATCTCAACCTTAGCCTTGACCCCCGCGCTGCATAAGCAAGCCACGTGCAGCATGCAACGTGAAAGGCGCATACATATCGAAATGAAGCTCCGAAGATTAGTATCTGAAATAAAAACAGATAATCATTGGAAAGAAAGTGTGCGATATCTACCCAAAACTTAGAATGGAAGGCGTCTGTCTGTCAATCTATTGGTACGACCTGCCACCTGTTCCCCAAAACGGTACGTACCGAGAATAGGATACCTACCAACCTCTCGGTGAGTCCTCTCGCACAGCAGATCCGATTGAGTTCGTATTCTACAAGATAAGATGCAGGATGCGCTGTCAGTCAAGACTCGCCTGCCTGCCTTAAGGGGTCTACGGGGTGCGATTGTGCAAGCGGATATGTACACGTACCTATATTGTCTATCTACCCATCTGATCAGCTCAGAACAGGTATTGGAGGTGGCACGACAGGATGCGTGATGCGAGATCTGGGTGCGGGAAAGCCAGATCTTGGTGAATCGAGTGTGAAATTGAGTGCATTACTCGCGAGAACCACGGATGCTGCTGATAACGAGAGCAGGAGCGGGAACCAGGCTTCTTTTCCTGGGCCTCCCTGCCCTGAATATGGTCCGCTTTCAATTTGCAGCATGATTACTGTTGGGAAGAAAGAAGCCCTTCGCGAAGCCAGCTCCCAACAAGATAAGTGACGCCTTCTTCTGTTTCTTCTTCTGCCCTCCGTCTTCGGCCATTTCTCACCTGGGGAGACATGTCTCGTAGTATTCCGGTGAGGCACATGGCTCTTCGCACCACCATGTTCGGCATATAGACACGTCTGGATGTACAAGGCAATGTAATCTGTGCATTCCATATATTTGTGCTACTGGTAACACCTTTCGAGCTCTTTGCAGAAAGCCTTCTACTCTCGCCTACTGCCTCCCAAAGTCAGAAGATACATTTGACAGATGTAGCGACCCAGCTTCCTGCCCAGCTGTACAGTGAACCATTCCATATTCAAGGCCCGGCGTTACACGACACGCGAGGCTTGTATGGCTCTCTCATAGCTTTTCAACAAGGCCATGTTGAAGAAGAGGCTATCCGGTCTTGCATGCCCCACGCCTTCATGGCCCGGTAAGAGAGGTAAATTTCGGCACCATGCCACGGCATAGAGACCGCGGCCCAAACCGACACCCAATATGACTGCGGCCAGAGCCTACCTAGCCGCGTGCCCTGACAACCAGACAGCCAGCCTACAGCGGTAAATGGAAACCAATCCCAGCCACCCGCCTCAGAAAAAGGGGTGCGTGGAAATTGCTTACCGTCAGCAGGACCCGTCCATCCATCAATTCTACTCATCTCCCTGGGCCCGGGGAAAATCAAGCTCTGACAATCAGTGTCAGGAACACCCGTTCCCAGACCTCAGGCCAGCAGCCAGCATCCAAGCGAGCGTCAAGAACACAAAAATAGACAATGAGAGAAAACACCCCGTTTCAACATTTTTGACACCCAGACAACCAGACAACGGGAGCGGACCGATATGCTGACGCTGACCCAACCCCCCTTTTTTTGTATTCCCCTTTCCTTCCCTTCCCTTTCCTCTCCTTTAACCAATCAATCACCAACCCACGCATCCCTCACGATCATGATCATCCCGTCTCACTCACTTACCCACCCCCAGCCGCTCCCCAACTCCCGGCTCCTCTCGCCCCTTTGAGAATCAAGCCAAACGAACATAAATCAGAAACTTACCGTGGAAGCAACCTAGCAACCATTGTCACAAAGCGACCGAAATGCAAGAAGGGGGTCGCTCGCTCATCATCATCGAATCAATCACGCAAACCATGTATGGGCTCTACTAGTGCACAATAAATAGATGCGAGTCGTATCCAGGAGGGAACCGGCAACGCAAAGGTGGGAAACGCCATGCCGCAAGCCAGCAGCCAACCACACGGATGGATAAACAATAGCGTAGGTATGGAGTAGGATTTAAATTATGGTTTAAATTATGATTTGAATTAGGATTTGATTTGAATTGGGATTTAAATCACGATCCACTATCCAGCCCAACAGCATAGGTCAGCAGAGAGCAAAAGCAGAGAAGGCATCACTCCTCCCGGACAGACGAGGAAGTGGAAAAGGGTACAGTCGCAAGCGGTATGTACGTATGTTATTATCAAAGAATTTTTTTTTGGGGGGGCGGGGGGCGGGGGTCTATATCTTTTCCTCCTTCTTTCTTATATACATACATATAGAGGTATATCTATAATTTCTACATCTGAATAATATTATTATATCCTATCTATCTAAACATTCCAATTTCAAACACACCAAAAGAAAAAAGAAGAAAAAAAAGAAAAGAAAAGAAAAAAAAAGAGAAAGAAAAAAGAGGCATCTCTTACAATATAAACATACCCACCCCTCCACCCACCCACCTATTTCCTTCTCCTATTTCCCTCTCCTCCCCCTCCTCCCCCTCCCCCTCCTCCCCCTTCTTCAGTTTTTTTTTTTTCTAAAAAATAATAATAATAGTAATAATAAAAATAACAATAATAAAAAAATAAAATAAAAAAATTCCCAACCCATCTTCTCGTCTCGCATCGCACCCTTACACCCATTCTTCTTCGTTACATAGGTATTTCGTCGTGGGAAGAACATAGTAAGAAAATAACGAGAAAAGAATAAGATGACAACAAGAAATAAATAGGAATAGGAATCCTAATATTTATTATATCCGTTTATATGATCGCATCATACATACTCGTGATGTGTGATATCTTTCTCAACGTGACTATGCCCGCAGAGCACAGCACAGCGCGGAAGTGTGTAAGGAGTACCGGTAGGTAAGGAAGCAAGTAAGAAAGTAGATGGATGACCTGACTCCCCCCCCCTCCCCTCCCGTGATGCCTGCTTGCTTGCCTGTCCGCATTCCTCGCGCCCGCTTCCAGCAAGCCCCCCTCTAACCCCTCTATCTCTTCCATTCCGCCCCCCAAATATCTAGCTTCCCATATCCCATCCTCTCCATCTCATTCTTATCCCATCCAAAGATCCCTTGATCCGATCCGATCCGATCCGATCCCATCTTATCCCATCGCCAGCATACTTAGAAGAGCCAACTACCATAGCAAAAAGCAGCCGCAATCCCGAAACTGAGGAAAAAAAGAGATCCATGACAATCCGATCCTTCCATCTCTAAAGCCATCCCGATCGCGCCGTACAGAAACCCAGAGTTACTATCAACAGCTCCCTCTTCTCGTCCCGGCTTATCGTATATCGTATATCCACACCCCGTCCTCCTCTTGCCGAGCCGAGACAGGTCTTGGCGAAGCCTCGGTTATCTCTCTCTAGCACTGCTGCCACATCTGCACTTTACTGACCTCCATCTGTCCAGCCCCCTTCTCCTGCCACGTCGGGAGCCACTGATCGCGCTGGCTCCAAAAGTCCCTCGCGGCCGTGGTGCTGGTGTCGAGCCACGGCTTCTCACTCTTGCCGTCCTCGAACCACCCATTGGTGCCACCAACGGCCACGTTCAAGATCAGGTAGAAATCCTGATCGAAAGGTGTCTGATCGCGACCGGTCTGGGACCAGACGTCCACGAGCCGCGTGCCGTTCGAATCGGACAGAGGGAAGCTACCCCGCTCCCAGAGAGGCTTGTTGAAGTTGGTGTAGAGGACCTGCAGGAGGCGCGTGTTGATGTAGGTGAAGAGGTATTTCTCGGACCACTCCATGCCGAAGGTGTGCGTGGTCTTCGCGTAGGTGGTGTGGAGAGCGCTCCTCTTGACGTTGGTGCGCCACCAGGCATCGTTCGCTGAGTCGGGGCCCCAGTGCAGAGCAGAGGAGACGATGTTGTTCCCACCTTGCTCGTAAGTGTGGTTGTTCCCGCGGGACTCGGCAATGTCAATCTCTCCCGACAGAGGCCACGGCCCGTACGTCTCGTTTACGGGCAGCATCCAGATGGCGGGCCAGAGCCAGTCACCCGAGGGCATCTTGGCCGTCACCTCTACGCGGCCGTATCTGATGGTTGCGCCTTTCTTGGTGTTGATGCGGCCAGAGAGGACGGGGGGCACGATCTCGCCCGTAGTGAGGTTGGTCACGGCGGCGCAGGCCTTGAGTTTAGCGTCGAGGGACCCTCTGGAAGCATCGTATGTGCAGGTCCCGTCCTTGGTGAGGTTGACGACGCTGTTTTGCTCGATGAGGCTCGCATCTTGGAGGGTGGGCTTGATGATGAGCTTGCCGTTCTCGATGTAGACGTTCTTACCGTCGCTGGTGGTCTGCGCGAATTCACCGTTGCTGAAATGGGTCATTAGTGATCGTCTTCCAAGGAGTGCGATCAATGCTTACCCGAAACCACCCACCTCCGCCTCCATTGTCCAGATATCAGTGTTCAAGCTCCCACTGGAGAAATCGTCCGTCATAACCGGGCAGTAGGTGTGCTTGACGACGGAAGAAAGACCGTCGTAGACTAGAAACCCCGCGACACCAAATCCTAACAGCAAGCCGATCAGAGGAATGATCGTGACCCATTTCTCCTTGGGGTCCTTCTTGTCCATCCATGGCTTCTCGACCTCGCCCTTGCGCACTCGTCGCGAGTGGAAGTATCTGGTCGGCAGTGATCGCACCGCTGAAGAGGAGCCGACTGAGGATGCTGGTCTCGAGGTATACGGGGTTCCGAATGGATTTAGTGGAGGCGCGGGGGAGATCTCATCGCCGAATGGGCCACTCCTGCTCTCTGGCGTCCCTGGACGCATTGGCGTCGTCGCGGCAGAGTTGTTGCCCGAGACGGCGCTCCCTCTGTGTCGCGACTCGTTCTCCATTGCGTGGTTTGGGTTCCGGACGAGGACGGGCACAGGACAGGGCAGAAGGGTATATCTCAGTCGGATCAAAAAAAAGTTTTTTTTTTTCTTCAGAATGTTGAGGTAGGTAAGGAAGCACAGAGAGAGGGCTTCGTTCGTGAACCCGTATCGGGTCGGACGGAATGAGTGTCTGGGCTTGGGGTTGGGGTTGGGGTTGGGTTTGGGTTTGGGTTTAGGAGATTTGAAGAATTTCGGAGGGGAGACAAACGCGGTCGGTCGAGAAGCGGGCGGGATAGAGCGGGTGGATAGATAATGTACGGACTGCGGATAGTATGCTGGATATTGGTCTGTGGTCTGTAGTCTGTGGTCAGCGACTTCAACACGGGCCATCTGTCGATCTCTTGACGTGTAACTCTCAGTAACAGCTGGGATGAGGCTGGGGAATCGGGATGCAGGATGCAGGATGGACGATAAACGATAAACGACGGACGATGACAGATGAAGCTTTTCGAAAAGATCGGACAAGCTATAAGCGAAGAGGTGCGAGCAGACCGGAGGTGCACCACTCACTCGGTCTCAGGCTTCGGCCGAGGAAATCGATCGGCCGTACTGCAAGCGCCGTGATGACGATACCAACAATATCAACAATCAACAATGGCGATTGACTACTGAGATGTCTGATTAAAGGGGCACTCAAGTCTCACAGAGGTTGTTGCTGTTGCTGTTGCTGTTGTTGTTGTTGTTATTGTTATTGTTTTTGTTGTTGTTTCTGTTGTTGTTGTTGCTGTTGTTGCTGCTGTTGTTGTCACTGTTGCTGTTGCTGTCGTTGTCATCATCATCGTTGTCATCATCATATGGTTATCGCCGCCTTGCCTTGCCCTTGCAAGCTCTTGCTCTGGCCATCACATCATCCCATCTTATCCCTGATACCGAGAGATCCAGGCCCAGTCTTATTTACCCCTGCCTAGCAAGAGACAATAAATATATTTGGAATAATCAACAATTTTTTTTGATATTGCGTCAGTTCAGCCGAACGTCCCAAAGGGGCAGTTGCTTGTTTTTCAATCTTATCTGGCCCTTGCCCTTGCAGATGATCTGCAGATGCAGACTCTGGTGTGCAAGTGCGGGGGGCATTCAAGATATGCCCCTCTCGCGTTAGCTAATTATCCTCACTGCCCTGCCCTGCCCTGCCCTGCCCTGCCCTGCCCTGCCCTGCCCTGCCCTAATAAATTGACGGGAGATTTGAATGCGATAAAGTGGCACATGTCCGCCCGCCCGTGCTACTCCGGATCCACGGACATCATTTTTGTTTCCTTCTTTTTGCTGCGGGACTGCGCCTGCTTTTCTTGCATTTCCATTTGCATTTGCATTGTATTGTATCGTATTCTGTTATATCATCTTGTACTGTATGCAGTCTCTCTGACCACCGGGCTCGGTTGGTATTAATAGCAAGCGAAAACGTGCCAGCAAACAAGCAATCGTTAATCAATAGCACAGACAGGCACAGCAGCTATTGGATATATGTCAGTCACAACGTAAGTACGTACTGCTTCTGTGCTGTAGCCTCGATCATATGCAGTCATCGATATCTCTCATTACGTTGCATGAGCTGGCAGCGTAGAGACGAAGGGGTCGGATTCATCGTGTACAGCGTACGGCAGGACTGAACTCGATGGCCGAGCGTTGTAGCTTTCGATATGACAGTTTCCAAGATTCAAGGCAATCATTTTCTTCCTGCAAAGCTGTTTTAGACATGAGAGGCAGTAGCTCCATATTTAATATCACGTTATCTCTTGGTTATCCATGGCAGCACGTCCTTCTGGAACCAAGACCAACTCGATTGGCATCATTGACTGGGAGAAAGCTGGTTTTGTGCCAAGGGGATGGATCAGGATCAAGTTTCGTATTTCGGGCGGGATGGATTTCTCACTAGAGGATGTGATCAACCCAAGAATATATGACTTCTGGGAGAGGAAGTGAAGGGGCGCAATTCCTGACGAAATCGACAGTTTCGCTCTCAGCTCCCAGTTCCTCACACCAAGACTTTACTTCGCAGAGCGTGTTTGACCCAAGACTCCAGGCTGCTGCTGAGGTACCAGCGTCGTGTACTAGTCCTGATTCCAGATCGTAATTTGGCAGTGAGGGATCCTCCTTTGCCAGCTTCCGCAAGCAAAAGGTGTCCTCTCCGTCTCGCCAGGTGATAATGGCTTCCGAGGTGGTTGAGGATGTGACTCGTCTGAAGACTTTCGAAGAACCCAACATCCATCGATCTGGAGTAAGTTGACATATCGATTTGCCCATCACTGGTGTCATCTCAATGTAATGTCAATGATTACTACAAGGAGATGATAGATTGATGAATACCAAAACATGTTTGAGCCGAGCTGCGGCAGAGCTACTTGCCCTGGTGTCGCAGGAAAAGTTGTGTGTGTTGTTTCGCACGATCTTGAATCCGTAAGGTAAAGTTGTCAGATTGAGCTAATTCGTATATCGCGTAACATACCACCACCCAGCAATTCCATTTGTGTCAGGAGATGGGCAGAATATAATTTTTATTATTATGATTCATTACTTTATTATATTGCCTGCGGTATAATGCGTGGAATTCAACGATCTTGGGCGATTTTCTGCCGGATTTAAGCGGGGATACTTTTTCTTTCCGAAGATCTTTTGCTTCGCCCATTTTAAGGAAGGACCCCTAAAGTTAAGGCAACGAGCCCCACTATTTTCTTGTTTACTTTTCTTCTTCGCCGGGTATTTCATGTTTACGGAGCTGCTTTCAGGTGTGGCGATAGATGAATATATATACTTACTTGTTCCCCGAGAACATTGGATAGTGAATCATTGAAGGGTAATGGCGCTGTAGTCCACTGCAGCCCACTCGTGCGCTGATCCGATCCGATCTGATCCTCCGCTCCGGCCAAGTGGACACTTCGGGACAGCCAGCCAGCCCTTTCTATCTCAGTAAGCAGCATGCATAATCGAGGAGTTACTTGACTTGACTTCTGTTACGAGCAAAGAAAAGATAAGTAACCGAGAGCTCCAGGCTAACAGGCAGCGCAACTGACTATTGCAAGCTAGATCCTCCGAAGGCGCGGCAAAGCTCTTTTCTTGACCTTTTCCAATCAGCAGCCGCTTGGTGTTATGGGTACGCTGCTTATGCGAAGCCTTTCTTGTGCGCACGAAGGAGGCCCATACAGTAAGCCTTAGCAATTACGTCGGGTCAAGGGAAACAAGCTTCCGAACCATAGAGTAAGCTGCTGCACACAAGCTTATTCTAACCTTCTTCACTCTTTACTCGCCGTGAGAGATAACCTTTTTGCTTTTCTTGTGGTTTTTGTTAATTTTGCCAAAGTCTGTCGCTATTGATGATTAAAACGCTGTTGATTATTGCTTCTTACTTATTGCTTGCTGATTCCAATCGTTATCGAAGCCAGCTCTGTCAAGATCCCTTCGAGAGTAGGAAACACGGATCGCAAGATGAGGAGTCAAGCATGGAGAGCCCTTGCAGTGGCGATAACAGGATTTTTGGCCAGTGTTGATGCGCAGACGGGAACAGCCAAGGATTTGGGATCGTTGCTTGCCGGACAGAAGAACCTGACGACGTTCTATTCTTTGATTCAAGTAGGTGGTATAAGTGGGGGAGTAAGGAAGATGAACATATTGCTAATGCGCGAATCAGAAATACCCTCAGATCTTGTTGCAGCTCCCATCCTACTCTGGCGTCACAGTAAACCAATTTTCGATTGTTCAGGGCCTCAATTGCAAGAGACTAATTGGAGATAGATCCTCGCACCGAATAACGATGCCTTCGAAAAGATTCCCTACACTCAACTCAACCAGGCCTTTGCGGACAACGACCAAGATACTATTGTCAATGTCCTCGAGTACCACATCTTGCAAGGCACGAAAATGGCAGCTCAATTAGTCCCAGGCACGCCAGTCTTCATGCCGACACTGCTGACTAGCACAACATGGACCAATGTTTCGGGAGGCCAGAATGTAGAGAACGTCGAGCAGGCTGGGGATGTAGTGATTTTTGTGTCAGGTCAGGGAAGCAGAGCTACGCTTACACAGGCCGTAAGTCGATTCTTTCAGGGGGCGTCAATTGCAAGGCTCATCGCAACAGGATCTCTCCTTCACTGGTGGAGTCGTCCAAGTCATTGACTCGCTCCTCATCCCACCCACAAATCTTACCAGTACTACCACATCCTTCAACATCACTTCCTTCCAAGGAGCCCTCTACCAAACCTCTCAGCTGCGAAACTTTACTGATACCCCCAATTACACCATTTTCGCACCAACCAACTCGGCCTTCCAGTCCCTCGGTAGCGCCATCTCCAACCTGACGGTTGAAGATCTCCGCTCCGTCATGGACTTCCACGTCCTGCAAAACCAAGTCACCTTCTCGACCGCTCTCAAGAACGGCACCACCTGGCCCACCAAGCAAGGTGAGAACCTCACGGTGCACCGCTCCGGAAATAACGTCTACATCGGCAGCGCGCAGCTCCTCACCTCCGACGTCCTGCTCGCCAACGGCGTCCTGCACGTCATCGACAACGTGCTCAACCCGCAACGGCCAGGCGCCCTGCCCAACCCGGACCTCCCCACCCAGCTCCCCGCCTTCGCCGCGGCAAGCAGCGTCGACAGCCTACCTTTCACAACGGCGATCCCGTGCACAGAGAGTTGTCCCGCGGCGGTTAGCACGAGCGGGAGTGCCTCGGGCGTAACGGACGCTACGAGGACGGCGACGACGAGCGCCAGCAGCCCGGTGAGGACGAGCAGTAGCAAGGCACTGGGTGCGGCGGTGGCGAGGGAGACGGGTTTTGCGGCTGCTGGGACGGCGGGTTTGGTGATTGCGCTTGGGGGCGCGGTCATGATGCTCTAGGGGGTTTGGTGGAAAGAGAGGAAGAAGAAATACTCGTGTTTGCGATTGTGCGAGGAGCTGGCGTATACCTCTTATACACCTATAATGCGTAATGGGTCTGGGAAGAAGCGGTTCGCCTTTTTAACGTTAAGCGGAGGATAGTATTGATTTACACATGCAAGTAAAGCATTGCGGGAGGCTTTGGTTGTTTCGAAAGGCGGTTCGTTCGGAGGGTGGGAAAGCCTTAATGTAATGTCGAGATCCCCCATATGTTCCCTCTCTCTCCCTCTCTCTTTCTCTCGCTCTCTCAATGCATAATGGAGCTGCAGGATCTTCATACTGGAACCTCATTGCAATGCAATTATTGCGTTATTCTCGCCGACGCCAGTCCCGGTTCGGAGACCCATGTTAACGGCCTCATCTGCCGTCCAAACTTCTTTCTTCGATTCTCTCTACTCTGATGCACTTTGAGGAGCTCCTCGTACCCATCTTTCCCATCCTTCCCTTTCCACTTTGGCTCGCCTTCGTCTGTTACGATATCGCCGAATTCACCTAGGTTTGGTGGCTCGTTCAGATCAGGGAATATTGTGCGAGACAAAGCGTCCGCAACAGGGTTTGCTCTTGTCTGGTATCCGTTGTATTGCCCAGTTCAATATTCTCACCTCTGAGGCTCGTCTCGCATATATACCTGCGAGTGTTAATGCCGAGAGCAACTATTTCAGTGGTTAGTAGTCAGTGTATATCACTGCTTGAATAGAAGTCCGAAGCATCTACACACAGTTCCTTCTTATAGACCCTATAGTTAGTTGCATTGTAGTTGGTTGAATGCGAACGCATCGTATAGTATAGGTAGGTAGGTACCTCCACCTTGTTTCTGATTACGGTTACCGCCCAACCTGCTCCTTTCAGACTAGCGTCGGTGTAAATTCTCATTCGTTCGCGGAAATCCCATCCATTCATCTTAGTCGCTTCCGAACACTTTTGTTGTAATAGGCTGAAGGAAACTATTCCAGTGTCTGCCTAACGCCATTCAACATTTCCGGTAAGCCTCGTAAGTGATCCGGTATCTTTCATCAGGGCTTAAAGACTTTTCATTTTATAATATAGTGTAGTGAATCTAATGTAATTCAAATCGAAGGCTTCTCAATCTGTATATAGCTAGAATCAGGAATTTCTCATTGTTAATCCACCTCCCCTTTTGAAAAACTACCTAGACCTTCTGCCACCTTCCACTACAGATCTTACTAGCTGCAGCACGTATAACAACACTTCACTACTGGAAATGGAAAACCCGATAGCTACTCCTAATAGCGTTCCTGGATACTATAAATTATCCAAAATGACAACCTGATAAGCGAAGAAAATGCCAGAAGCTACTTTCAGAGCTCAATTTGATATTCGGCTTCGCTTGATCCACTCTCGCTTAGGCTCCATGGAACGAACCACTCCCTTCAGACTTCGCCAGCTGAACGTTCGAAAAAAACACATAAGCAGTCTTGCATGCCAAAAAAAAATCACGGAAGCGTGGCCCGATATTTGCAAGATCCATAGACCTTGGAGACCATGCAAAAACCATCAGTGACTGTTTTCTAAAGTCGTAGGAGAGGCCGGGATCTACTCGTTTTGAGCTTTCGTCTGATGATGCCGGAGAACTTCGCACGAACATTCGGGCCAAAGAAACAGGATGTCTGAATAATTGATCCGTGGATCTTGAGGAGCCTTGGCGCATGCGGATGTAGAATCTAGAGAAATGGTTGTTCTAACTCGTGGATGCTAGATCTCTTGTAGGTGCGTGCTAAGACTGAAAGGCTGTAAGGAGGCCTACATAAGCGAGCCGACGATTAGCTCGCTTAATTTTTTTTTTTTTTGGTAGCGATAATATCGCAAGCTAGATTATTCGTTAGCGATTGAATATAATAGATTATAGGATATGATCATCTTGATCTAATTAATGATGGAGTCCTGACTTTAGGACAGCGACATCGCTTGACTCGTCTACAATTAGAAAATTGTAGGCTCGCTTAATGTTTCTGATAGTGATAACTTGCATCCAAGATTTTGTATTAGCACTTTTATACAATCTTGAAACAATATAATGATTTGAATATAGCGAATAAAAGGATGGGCTAAAATCTTATTGCAGCGATATTATGTAAAGTATATACTATTTAGGAAACATCCGCATGATAAATTTGTATGAGGACACGACTTCAGCCTTCAGGCCTCGTCTGCAAGGCCGCAATGAACCCCGCCAACCAAGAACTGCCGGTGGGAGGCACTGATAAGCAATTGTCAGCACCACAAATGCAAACCCGCTTAATTCTGCGTACAAATACTTCGCAGTTAGTGAAACGAGGCTTTCAATTGCAAAGATAGGTAATCCACCATGGCTTCTGCGTCGGCATTCAAGCAGCCCAAGGGTTTTTGGCACGGTCAGATCGCAGAGGCGGGAGAATTCCCAGCAGAGAAGGGACGATACCACCTATATATTGGTTTGTCGACATCCAAACGCATAGCCAGGATTCCGAGTCTGATAATGCCACAGGTCTCTTCTGCCCCTTTGCGCACCGAGCGAACCTCATTCGACACCTCAAAGGTCTTACGGAAATCGTCGACATCTCGATCGTGAGACCCTATCCCAAGGGAGACGACAAGGGTTGGCCGGGTTGGAAATTCCCTACCGCGGAGGATCCATACGAGGGTGCCACGGCAGACCAGCTCTTCGGGAGCGAATACCTGCATGAAGTCTACTTCAAGGAGAAGAAGGATTACGAAGGGAGATACAGCGTTCCCGTGGTATGGGATAAAAAGACGAACCGACTCGTCAACAACGAGAGCTTGGAGATACTGCGGAATTGGAATACCGGCTTCGACTCCATCCTGCCGGACGAGTACAAGAATCGCGACTACTATCCCGCAAGACTGCGCGAGAAGATCGACGAGATTGGAGCGTGGATGCAAGCGGATCTCAATACGGGAGTGTACAAGGCAGGCTTCGCCCCGACCCAGGATCTCTATGACGAGAACGTAGTCCCTGTATTCCGGGCTCTGAACCGGCTGGAGAAGATCCTAGAGGAGAACGGCGGTCCGTACCTTCTGGGACCCGATCTGACCGAGCTGGATCTGCAACTCTACCCCACGCTCATCCGCTTCGACACGGTTTACGTACAGCACTTCAAATGCAACCTGGGAACGATACGGCATAACTACCCGCTCTTGAACGAGTGGATGAAGAACCTATACTGGAATGTCCCCGGCTTCAAAGAGACGACAGACTTCCGCCACATCAAAGAAAACGCACGTATCCCCATTTCCCCCCGTGTTTTTGTTCATTGACTGCTCGATCCGCAACGCTAATCAGATACGCGGGAGAAAAAAGTATACCAAAAGCCACCCGAAAGTCAACCCCCTGGCCATCACACCTCTCGGACCGATCCCTCATATCGAGAGCGGATTCGAACCGGATTGGAGCAAGATCCAAGCCGGCGGCGTGGACTTACCCGAATAGTATAGAATAGAAAGGGAAGGCCAGGCCAGGCTAGGACGGAAGCGCTTGCCCCTGAGGATCTCGATGTAGAAGATTAGCCATCTTAATCATGTACATGTATATATGTATATATACATATATTTGTGTGTATTTCGAGAACCAGAATTTCTTGCATATGAGAGCAAACTACCTACCCTACTCTACGTGTGAACTAACGCAGCGACAAATATACTTTACAACACAAAGACCGGAGGAGTATAGTACAACAAGAAGAAGAATCTGTCTACCCGCCGCCTCAAAAACAAACAAACTAGCATATTTTCTTGCAGCCCCCCACCCCCCCCCCCAAAACTTCGACCTGTTTTGATACTCACTTACCTATCTCTCCTACCGCCAGACCTCAAGGCCCATCCGCTTCAAAGCCAGTATGCAAATACCAGCCCGATTTGTAGATACCAAAGGAGAGGGGGGGGGAGGGGAAGAGGCGCTCGGTGTCTGTGTCTACCTAGGTAGTTCAAAGCTAGAAATCGACTGTGCAAACTGGAGTAGAGAAACTATTTCGCGACCCTATACAGATCCGTATAGACCGTAAAGTCACAGTCACCTTTTGACCTGACTTGATATTGTCAGTTTGTAAGTTTTTATGCTAGCCAAGCCACGAACTTCAGCAGTAGTCTTACAGTGATCTTGCAATAACTGGAATTTCGTAATCTGAGTACTTTTACTTGCGGCGAATTCACGTACGTCAAATTGTACGTTATAAAAAATCATGACGCATCGAAGTCGCGAATCTAATCGATTTCCTTAAACCACAAACTGTCGTCTTAGCTCATACAAACAAACTAGAGGGGAACCAAAAAAGCCCCACAAAAAAGCATTCATATACGGCCTGGACATATTTTCAGACATTGCAGCAGGTCCAAGACCATGATTTTGCTGTACAGCCCATTCTGATCGTCTATCCCGAGACTCAAGATGACTTCGTCGTCTAGATACCCCATACCCTTTTCTCGAATGTCGCTTTCTTCTCTGCCCCACGCGTACGCAATCGTTGTTGTGTACGTAAATTCGCCCCATGCCTGTCTGTCTTCATCTTTCGCTTCTGGTACATCATCCCATATTTCCGCAGGTTTCCAGCCTCTGTTCGTTTCATTCGCCATAAGTATGGGATGCTGGCTCATAGCCAGCATGTTAAACGGCCAGGTTGCTGACCATACGACGAAGTATCGCTCGTAGCGTATGGGTAGACCATAGCCGTTTGTATGCTTTCGCTGGATTGCTGCAAAGAAGACTGATGTTGGGTTATCAGCTAGACAGCTTGCATTTGTACGCAGGCATAGAAAAAGTTTCAGCGACGGGGTTGCTTGGTGCCACGAAGATGCGATGGTAAAAACATCGGTCTCGGCTTTTCCAACCGACGAATCTACTAGACATGACTGCTCGAAGGGGTCCGTCATGTTTTCCGTTGTGAGTCCACCGCCAACGAGCTGTGCAAAGCTGCGGGTTGTGGGATTCAAATCGTACTGCAGGAAGGAGGTGGATGGCGAGGGGAAGAACATGACCCAGTTCTTTTCGTACGACTGACGAGTTGATGGTGGGTTACGAGTAAGCTCTGTCAGAAAGGGGTAAGACATTAGTGGACCCGGACCGAGCCGACGAGGGGACGAGGAAAAGGTTTGTTCGATTGCAGGATATGTGATTCGAAGGTCAATGGCCCAGACGCCGATGCAAGCGTATCTGGATCTACAAATCTTCAGCAGTGGACAATGGGAGGGAACTACAGAGCCAGGTGCCTTACTGCGAGACGACCATTAATATCGGCTCCCCTCTACCCGAGTACAACAGTCTTGGATCATGGAAACCAGGGATATCTGCCAGTTGCAGTTCCTTACCCGAACAACTTTCCGCGGGCGTCGGAGGAACATCTACTTCAATCGGCGGCGTAACACATCGTAGTCCGCCGCTGGGGCCGAGAAGCGCTAGGTCTTCGTCCGTACAGTACTTCCCGCGTGGTGTGGGCGAGTGTTGGCCCTTGGGATAGCAGATGTTGGCTTCGCAGAGCACATTTCGTCGGAATGTCTCGCCATCGGGTGTAAGCATACTGACAATGATATATTGGTTCTTGGCCCAGGACGGAAGAGCAAAGATGGTTGGGTTCCAGAATCTGCGCTCCTCGTCCCGAGCCGCGGACTTCATCGAGATGTTATACAGCAGATTGGGAAGACGGATGTGGCCTGTGAATCGGTTGGGAGCTCGAGGACATGTTGTGAGATGCAGAAGAGCTTGAGGAACGACTGCTCCGGGGCCTGTTGGAGGGGGTGGGATACTAAATCCCGGCTCTCCTTTTCCCTCTTCAGCCGGGCCGAAGGCAGCAGCAGCAGAAACAGCAGCAACGGCTGGCAATGGATATGGATAGTCGGAGACATTAGGGAACTGCTGTGCAATAGGAACTCGGAGCGGTTCTTGAAATTCGGTATACCGAGGCGGGTACAGATGATGATATCGTGCGTCTGGGACTCGCGGCGTTCTCGAGAGCAGGATGCAGACGAGTGATATTGCCACGACCGGCAGCAATAGTCTCTTCAACAGCGGTAGCATTTGGGGCTGACAAGGAGGGCTGACGAGGAAGAGCAGATAGATCTCTTCTGCTGTAGAAGCAAACACTTAGCAAGTATAAGCCCAGCTGATTGAATGAATTGGTCAGGACTCAAGTGCCAGGCTGTATATCCATGTGAGGACTGCTCTTGCTCTCCTCTGGGACTTTCTCTTGCTCTTGCTCTTGCTCTTGCTCTTACCGGATTTGTCCCTCGATGTCCACGTGACAATATGATGAAGTAAGATCCCATTCCCCCATGGATGAGACACCATACGACAACATTTCGCTCGCGATAGTTTCATCCCTTTCTCCTTTCTCCTTTCTCCTTTCTCCTTTCTCCTTTCTCCTTTCTCCTTTCTCCTTTCTCCCTTCCTTCCGACCTCCCTCCTGGTCAAAAATGGGTTACCATTGCCCTTCTCCCCTCTCAACACCAGGTGGCACCCCGCGGACACCCAAGATCATCGAGACCTCCACGCCGTGGTCCGACGTTCTCCTGGAGGACTTGCATACCACGATACAGTTCCATCCGCCAGCCAGACTCGTCCGTAGGTACGGAATCGGCTCTCATGGCACGTTTAAAATGCGTCTGCGGCGGTGGGGCAAGGCCTTGTGGTTGAGCCTCTCTCTCCTTCTTCTCTGTCTGTGGGTATCCCAGCGAGAGCACCAGATCCACGTCCAGGGCCAGGCAGAGGAGCTGGATCTGCCGAATCTTGATGCTTTGCAGTTCATAGATGCGAATCATCCGTATCTTCGCGTAATGACCATGGCCACCTCCCCATCCAGCCCAGTGCTCGGCTAACAAGACGCAGTACGTGGGTCGCTGGCTGGCAACAGCAGACGAGACGCATAAGGACGGATCTTTCCCAGGTCACATCTCTAGAAAGCTACTGTAATGAGTTACTGACTCAAGGCAGGAGTATACTTCGACTTTGCGCTCAATGGGACCAGCACCTTGCTTCTCTCCCTTCACAACAGCGACGGCCAACGAGATAATCCCACAACGAGAAAATCTAGAACGATCTCCTCGACGTTACCTTTCCTACCACTGACAAACACTTCCAGTGCAGCACCAATATCCTTGCTAGTCAGAGTCGACGACGAAGAATACGTCGTCCTCCCAAGAGCCACGTCATTGGTCTCCATCAGCCGGGGAAAGCTGAATCCTCTCGCGTCCCACGAGATCCGCATTATTGCTCCTATGGCTGGAGGTGATGCTGTCGAGACACTGCAAGTAGAAGGGATCTGGATCGATAAAAGCGGCCAACTGCTCCCGTACGAAGACAGCTTGAATGCGGATCGCCTATTTGAGGACCGGCTACTGAACAGCCACCCTCGAAAGATGCTTGAAATCGTGACGGACCTACCTGGATCGATGTCTGGAAGAGATAGCCGAAAGAATACCGGGGATGGTCGTGCTATTCTTGGAGGCGTACTGGGATGGGAGTACTTGCTAGGAGAGATGTTCGGAAGTGACCATGTTACGATCGGGATGGATGGCATATGTCTGATCTCGAAGTGTATAGGTGGTCGTGGAGCTCCTGCTGGCCTTGCTGACGTCTTCTTCCAGAGGTGAGAAACTTGAATTTCATTCGATTCGAAAAGGGCTGACTTGTCCTCCATCAGTGGCCCCGCTGGGTCAGAGCAATTCAACCATCCGTGGCTCTTCCAAGAATACACTCCCGATGTCATGGTATCGCATAAAGCTCAAAGTCCTCGATTGTTCTGACACTAGGTACAGATTCTGAACATCGGAAGCTCTGATTACGATTCGTTTCAGACACATATCCAAGAATACAACAGGACGATGTGGGAGCTGAGTGTTTTATTTGAGGAAACCTATGTCTCAATGATCCAGGCAATCAGGACACTGGCCTACCCCAAATACTCGGCTGCCACCATGGACTCGACCCGGTACATCTATTCCGCCCAGAATGCTGCCGCCGGAGTTCCCATTTTCGTCATGAGGCCATTCCGGGGACAACTTGAGCAAGCTACACATGCAGTTGTCGACCGACTTCGAATGGATGGTGATAAGAATGTCTTTTGGCTTGATACCTCTGGTTGGCTCAACACCGAGGTAAATTTCGATGGGCGAGGAGAGGACCAGGACTTTTTTCTTGACGGTGAGTCAGTTGAAATCTTGGGGAGATCGCTTTGTGACAATAATCTTCAGAAGAGAGTACTTCCAAGCCATGGCGCCTAACGGAGCGAGGGAACCAGCGAGTGGCGATTCTTCTACACATGCACGTCTGCAGATTTCTGGCCCGCGAGACCGAGAAGTGTGCCTTTCTCCCTCCGGAGATCTATCTGGGAAAGGCACTCGATCATGGGGCAATCCGCTTTAACGAGCTCCTTGAGGGTGAACAAGCGACGAAGTTGAAGAAGCTTCTCTGGCAACGATGAGACAGACGTCTGTCCGTCTGTCTGTGCCCCTTCGAGACTTTGATGGCGGTTACCTTCATTCCATCCGGCCAAGGATGTGTGCTGCGGGACCTGACAGCTTTTGGAGTTTATTAGTAACGCTACTGCTGCTGCCGAGATCTGAGAGGGCTGCGACGGGTAGGCATATTTCAGGAATTATATTCTTCTCCTTCACACGGTGTACATAATCATGTAGAACCAAAGATACTTTACATAAAAGACTACATGTATCCTAAGTATATAAATATTCATTTATCCTTCCACACCTACTTTTTACTATAAAGCCCGGCCTGGTGCGCTAGATTGGACCGACTTGCGCTCCAAGCGCGATGACATCGCCGCGAAGATGACTGAGACCTTAAGTTCTTTGTGCGCATCACAACCTGCAATGTTCGACGACGACCTGACCATTTGACTACTCTCTTGTACTACTGTACATGACCATGGATTGACATCCCGGCGAAACCCAAAGAGTCTGCATCTGCATTTTCTCCTCCCCGACCTGACGCTCGATGCCCGAATCGCTCCAGCCAGCTCCACTGTTGACCTCTCCTCACCCTCACTATCAGCTCAAGACCATCTCTACTGTGCGACCAGAGCTGGACATCGGACACCAAGACATCAGACGAAGCTGCATTGATTGCGGTCTCATAGGTTCTTAATGGCTTCAAAGCGCGCAGAGCTGGAGCGGCGGAAGTCCTCAACACCCCACTACCAGACCTTTCCTGTGAGTGCCCGAGACAACGCTCTTTGCCTCAGCAGACCATGCACGCAGAAGCGCACCCTCCCCTTCCTTTCATAACTGCATGGCAGAATAAGTACTGATGTGATGCAGACCCCCCCGCCAAAATCCCGTGGCCCACCTCCCTCATCTCCATCCGGCTCGGGTGGATTCGACGGCCAACACGATGGCACAGACGGTCCTCTCCCCTCAACCGACCCTCAGAAGTCCCCCCTACCCAAGAAACAGCTAGCTATACTGGCAGTGATCGCTCTCGCGGAGCAGACAGCCCTCAATTCCATCTCGCCTTACCTTCCAGAAATGACCTCGACCTTTCCGGATGTCGACGCCGGCCAGATAGGGCTGTACGTCGGCGCAATAGCCTCCTCCTTCGCACTAGCGCAATTCGCTACCAACTTCTTTTGGGGGTGGTTGAGTGATCGCATAGGCCGGAAACCAGTAGTGATGATGGGCACGGTGCTGACGGCGGCGTGCCTCGTGGCATTCGGGTTCTGCAGAACGTTGTGGCAGGCTATTGTCGTGCAGGCGCTTATGGGGCTGGTGAATGGAAACCAAGGAGTCGTATCGACATGCCTGGGAGAAATCACAGACAGGAGCAACCAGAGCAGGGCGTTTGTGTACCTCCCGGTTATCTATGGGCTGGGAGGCATTACTGGGCCTGCGGTGGGCGGATTACTGGTCTTCCAGGATCACCCATTCAAGAAGGGTGTCAAGAACCCGTATCCGTACCTCCTGCCGAATCTGTTTTCGGCCTGTATACTGGCCATTGATTTTGTGCTGACGGGGCTCTTCCTAGAGGAGAGTTTGGAGGAGGCAAAGAATTTGCCGCCGTTGAAGGAGAGGGTGGGCAACCTATTTAGTTGGATGTGGCAGTTCGTAGGTGGATCGCACCGTCCTACTTACCTGCGGAGCCACTTCAACAGACATCGCGATTCCAGACATAGAGCTGGGCTGGAGGGGAACGATACGGAGGACGACTCAGACGAAGGCAGCGAGACCCAATCCCTTCTCTCTTTGCGCGGCTTCTTTGCGAATAGCGACAGCCATCTCTCCAGCAAGGAAGTGCTGAACCGCGATACCATGCTCCTCCTCGGCACCTACTTTGTCTTCCAGTTCTCGAACATCTCCTACAACTCCCTCTATCCAATCTTCGCGTCCTCGCCGCAACCCACAGGCCGCGAGCTCTCGCCCGAGGAAATCGGGCTCTCCCTGTCCTTCGCCGGCATGGTGACGATCGTCTTCCAGGTCGGCATCTTCGGCAAGCTGAAGGAGAGGATGGGCAACAAGGCCACCTACCGAGGCGGCTTCTTCCTCTTCTTCGTATCCATGCTCTTGGTGCCGTGGGTGGGCCACAAGAACGACCGCCCGCCCTTTGGGATCGGCACGGGCAAGCTGTGGCTGTGGGTTGAGCTCGGGTTTGTCTTGCTGGTGAAGACAGTGGCTGGGGTGGGGGGTTTGACTAGCGCTCTGCTGCTTGTACGTCTCTCGTCTCAATTCGTTACTTCACTGATTGCAGCACGCAATTTGATGATTTTGATTTCATTATATATATATGTACATCTTTGCTAATTTCGAACAGATCACCAACTCGGCCCCAGACCACAACGTCCTCGGCACGCTCAACGGCCTCGCGCAGACTCTCTCGGCCGCGGGTCGTGCAGCGGGCCCCCTCCTGTCTGGCGGCCTCTTTTCGATCGCCACACGCGTCCACCCCAAAGGTGAGGCGCTCGCGTGGGGCACCTTTGGCGGGATCGCGTTCCTGGGCTTTGTGGCGAGTTTCGGGATCCGCGGTAAGGAGTTGGAGAGCGAGGAGTGGGAGGCTGGGAGTGCGAGTGAGGGAAGCTCGGGAAGTGATGATGGGGAGGGGGAGGATGCTGAAGTGGGTGCTAGGTAGTGTCGTACGATGGGATGGGACAGGATGGGACTGTGGGATGAGGTGATGGGTTGGGATCGGTCTGGTGGAGTTTGAAGGCGGATGATGGTTCACGGGACTGGATTTCTTTTGTCTGGTAGACAGCACAGCACGGCACATGGCGGCGGCGGCGGCGGATCACGGGAGCGCAAAAGGTCAAAAGCTCAAGACGGGAAGGAAATTCGGAAATGGGAAACTGGACATGGGCGAAGTGGCCATGATAACTTTGCTCAGGTTTTGAGGTCCCAAGAGGACAATGTATGTATATGTAGGTAGATATCCAATCGAGCAAGCACGCACCGATCGCTAGCTATATCGCCTTTCTGGCATTGTGCCTTTTTCTTTCCCCCTTTTTTTATTTTTTGCCTTTTGAAAAGACGGGGAGGCCTTTCGCTATGTATATATGTGTATGTACGTGTACATATATATATATATATATATATATATCACAAAGAACGGAGCGTACGTACATGGTAAGGATTGGTTGGTTGGTTGGTTAGTTGGTTGGGAATGTTTTTTTGGCGAGGAAGAAAGAGAGAGGAAGGGAAGGGAAGGGAAGGCAGAGGGAGAGGGAGAGCGAGAAGGACACCGGTTCGTGTTTTGCTGTTTCTTCTGCTTGTGCCGCCCGCCGCTCGCTGCTGCGGGTGTGGATGGGGGATACCTACCTAGGTAAGGTACCTAGGTAGAGGGATGGTTGGCAGAACGGCACGGGAAGGAATATCCTGAGGCCGCCCTCCCCCCTCCCCCCTCCCCTCCCCTCAACACCTCCTCCCAGGCTCCGGTCGGTATTCAAACGCTATCTACCCGCTTCCTACAGTCAGATAGATCATCCGACGCCCGCGCGCGAACTGACCTACCGGTAGGTAGCGCCTGCCTCCTCTCTCTCTCTTTCTCTCGACGTCTCGCAGATGCTGATTAGTGCGATGGGCACCACCGCGTCGTGGGAACGGCTGGTAGCTGGGAAAGTCAACTTCTATCTGACGCGTCTTGGTCATCAGGAGGTGAAACGTAGGTGGTATGTAAGGTATGTATGTATGTAGTATGTATGTAGGTATGTAGGTATGTGCGGGTAAGAGCGTGCGTTGCCTGCCTGCAAGGTCACCAACTTACTACGTACTACGTACGTACGTACTAGTACTGCGTACCTTCCTTCCTGGGTTGATCTAGGTATCTCCTCGAGGATGTCTCATTTCGAGACCGAGACCAAGACCTACGTAGCTAGGTAGGTAGTCAGTCAGTCACTCAGTCAGTCAAGGTCTCATCTGGCAAAAGAGGTCGGGTCCCGTGATCGACACCCACCGGCCGAGCCCCATCTCATCTATTCTTTAATATAATAGAGCGCTGGATTCGGGCCGCCGCCTCGACCTGAGTTGGTAACCCTACCCGACTCCGATTGCTGATGTCACTTTAAGAATTACCGTAGGTATGGACGCAACGCTAAACGCCCGGAGATTTTTTGAATGGATGGATGGATACTTACTGTACTGTACTGTACAGCACAGTACGTAGCGCTTATCAACCTTTCGTGATAGTGTTTCCTCTGTCTCCCCCGCATGAACATACTACCGGTATATAGTAGTAAGTACACGTCGAAAAAAGCATAAATCGTGCAAAGGGGTCCTTCCTTGTCTTGTCTTGTCTTGTCTTCCCAGGGCCTCTAAACCCAATCCTGCACCGGACAAGGATTCCAGCCCTGAGAAGGTACTACTAAATATAGTACCTTGAGGCCAGTGTTTCTTTTCATTTTACGTAGTACGTAGCACTATATTTTATTTCCCGTTGCCGTTTAGACTTTAACCGGGCCCGCGAGCCATTCAGAAACCACCCCCCCCCCCTGTCTCGCCCCGCGATCTGCAGGGCCTAAAACCGGGTTCCGACATTTAAACATAGTACCGGTACTACAGTAGGTACTGTAAGTACGTAGTACTACGTGTAAAGCATGAAGTATGCAAAAGGTTGTTGTTGTTATTATACTATTATTATCCTCTCCATACACAAGCTCTCCCCCTCCACTATTGAAGTGGTGTGTTGCTAAGGGTGTGTTTGGCTCATACGGTAGTTGCAGGTCCGTGCAACTGAGCAGTTGAGTTGATCCTAAACAGGATCAACTCAACTTGACAGTAGAAGTTGCACGGACCAAGGCCTGTTTTGGCTCGCAACTAGCAAATTGAATAGCAAACTGCAACCTAAGACTTAAAAGAAAAAAATTAATTCGTTATTATAACTATTAATTATTTATTAATGCAATAAACTCGATCGAGTATTTCGAAATTTAGCTTTGCGTATTAAAAGGTCTTGAGTGTATGGAAATCCTTTCCGAGTAACTCTTAGGTTATCCTTGATTCGTAGTAGGTGGCTTGTAAGAAGCTTTTCCACCTATTGAAGGCCTTTTGTTGTTGTTGTTGTTGTTGTATTTATTTACGTCGGGCGGGTAGCAGGCGAAGCTTGCCGCCCTAAGACCTCCCATAGGGTACGGCGACGTGCTAAGCTAAGGAGTTATATACAAGAAGGCCCCAGAAAGCAATTCATAGTGATGTAGCGAGAGCTACTATCGCATGCGCCCTTCCCTTACAGATAAGATAGATCACATAGAAAGAAACCTTTCATCAAGGGAAAACCACAAAGGAGAGTGAAGCAGGTACAGACTGCTATAGCTAGCCAGAAGCGAGCTGTTCAAGTCGCATAGCGACGGGAGTCGAGGCCGGACCGGAGTCAGCCGAGCCTATTGAAGGCCTGTCAGATCGGAAGTATACTAAAGCGTTTTTGCGAAATTGTTTTTATAGTATTGAACGGCGGCGCAAGCTTCAATTGCAGCGACGATAATTCTAATATTGCGATTCCGTAGATTGCGCTTTTTCAGAATGGTTTTCGGAAACGGCATGATGAAAAGGTTGCGTGGTTGAGAATTATTAGAAGGAAAAAAAATATAGAATAAGAGGGGGGGGGGGCGAAAAAAGCTTGCAACTTGAGCTTGCAACTTGGGACTTAGAGCTTTTTGCTCAAAGTCCGATTTGTATAGTGCAACTGCAGTTGCAAGGTCA